TGTCATAAAACAATATGTGTACTACTGTTTCATGAGAAACTATTTGTTCTGTAAGCCTTCACCTGAAGTACAATTAAAAAAAAAAAAAGTTGAAACCACACTCCAAGGAATTCTCAAAGAAAAAAAACAAACAGAAAATAACAAATGCTGGTGAGGATATAGGGAACCTAGAACCCATATCCATTGCTGGTGCGAGCGCAAAATGGTATTGCCGTTGCGGAAAACAGTGTGATAGATCCTCAAAAAACTAAAAATAGAACTACCACATGACCCAGTAATTCCACTCCTAGGAATATACCCAAAAGACTTGAAAGCAGAGACTCAAACAGATTCTTGCATACCAATGTTAATTGCAGCACTATTCACAATAGCCAAAAGGTGGAAACAACTTGAATGCCCATCAACAGAAGAATGGATAAACAAAATGTGGTACATACATACAATGGAACACTACTCAGCCAGCAGGAGAAATGAAGTCTTGATACATGCTACAGCATGAACCGAGCTTAAAGACATTATGTTGAGCAAAATAAGCCAATCACAAAAGGACAAATAATATATGACCTCACTTATATAAAAAGACAAGAAAAGGAAAATGTATAGAGACCAGAGTTTATTAGTGGTTTTCAGGAGGCGGGAAAAGGGAGGATAATGGTGATGGAAAAATTGCATTGATTATGGATTGGGTTGCATAGTCAATCATTGTAATTGCTGTCAATAAGTTGTACACCTGTAAAAGCTGAACTGGCAAAAGCTGTGTGGTAGGTATATTTACAGTAATGACCAAAAAAAAGAGAAGAGTAGCTGCTAAGCCTGTTTATGTACAACCAAATACCTCATGGGATTTGATTCCTTGGTTTGGAGGTTTAGGGTCATGGTTTCATTGGACATCCCAGTTAATTGGCCTAATAACGTGTTTAGTGCTTCTGTTCTACCTCCTAGTTCACTGTGTAGTACCTGAGGTCTTAAAAGCTTGCAAGCAGCTATCCAAGGAACAACAATAGTCTCTATTCACCTGGAGCAACAGAGGAAGGAGAGTCAGGAATAGGAGGAGGATATGGACTACGTGGCTAATTGCCTTGATGAACAACTGCCTCCTTTGCCATGAGACCAGATGAACTGGATGGTGCCTAGCTACCATTACTGAACATTTTGATCAAAGATTCCATAGAAGAATCCTGATCAAAAGGGGGAAATGCAGAACAGAATTTAAAATTCTCATGGACTTCTGACTTCCTAGAGCCATGGAGGATGAATGAACCCCTGAAACTATTACCTGAGATAATCTTTAAACCTTAAAACAAAAGTATCCCCTACAGTCTTCTTAAAACCAAATAATAGCTTACTTTAAATAGTAAAAAAAGGTCTGCCTTGAGCATCATGCTTTTTTAGGAACTATCTATCTATATGGGATCAAACTGACAACAGCAACTCAAAAGATTCAATAAGAACCTTAGGGGGCAGTGAGTTTATGGTAATGGGGGAGGAACAACTCAGAAAAGGAAGGTGAAAATGGTAGCACAACTCAAATGTAATCAATGTCACTAAATTGTACACGTAGAAACTGTTGAATTTGTATATATTTTGCTGTGTATATTCTTGACAACAACAAAAGAAATAAAATTACTTTAAATAAATAAAAAGTTAAAAAAAAACACAAAGTAATACAATATATGATTTGTAGATATTAAAAACATGGACTAGAAGCACACTCACCAAATTTATGATACTGGTTTCCTCGGGGAAGTAGGGAAATGAATAGGACCAAGGAAGAGAACAATAAATTTTATCTGCAATTTTTTTAAATGTATATTTTTACCTCAACTATATGAAGGTATATAAAGGTTTCCAAAGCCCAGCAACCCAGAGCCTCTCTCTCTCTCATATATATATATGAACCAAAACTGGAAAATTGTTATCATCTGTTAATTCTGAGAGTTTGGTACACAAGCATTTTTTATTCTTTGTAATTTTCTGTAATATTATAACCTTATAAAAAGTTTATTAGAGAAATAACACTACTTTCATATCTCCTTCAACACAGCTGCTCAAACTGTTCTATCTATGTTCTTTTAAATGAACAAGTCCTCCTAAGGACAGGAAGGGAGCCTAGGAAATAATCCTAAGAAACTAAAAAAATAATTTAATGCCTCATGCTTTAGCTTTAAAATTCTTGAGAATTTGGACTTTTTATCTACAATATGTTTGTTCTTATTTCCATATTAAATACATTAAGTCCATAATTTTTTTCTATCAAAATCTAGGTAAAACTAACACCTCAAGAAGATATGCCGTGTTTATCCTATGGCTTAACATATCCCCATTAGAGGGCAGAAAGGGTAGAGATGCTTACTTTAGTTTGGGAAGAAGAGCCAAAGAGTAACTGTACAGTTTCTTCTGGAATAAGACTAGACGAAAACAACACATAGGAGAGGAATCCTCTGAACTTAATCTTGACCTTGCCCCTGCACCAGAACCAGTAACTACATTTTCTACTATAAGTATATTTCTCAAACCAACTATCACTAAAACAGTTACATGCTTTTCCCTAAATGATTAAATCTTCTAAAAATCAAACTGTGAATAATGGTTTTTATTAAACACAATACATGACAGCATACCTAGTATACATAAATTTAGGGATGAATAAATAAATATACAAATGGCTAGAGAATATTTTATGGAAATTTAGTTTTTGAAAGGTTATGCTAAAGATGGACTTTAAAATATCCTAAATAACAGAAATTTTAGATAATAATAACTATCCAATAAAAAAAAAAAATCTTACCTTTTAGTTTTCATCTGGTCCCTCAGTTTGCTGTACATCTCCAAGACTTGAAAGAGAAGGGACAAAAAGAGCACACAAGCATTATTTAGAGAAAGTGAAAGACTAATCAAAGCTAAAGGAATTGCATCAAGAGTCCTACTCCATTTCCAGTTCCTCACCTGGAAGACACAGCATTAATTTATCAACAGTGGCAGAAATATTTCTCTGTTGTAGTCGACACTGCTTCAGCTCTTCCATTGCTATTACCAGCTTGGCAAGAGGGAAAAAAACTGAGTTATGCCAATAGCTGTAAATAAAAAGCTTTCAGTCACATTTTTCCACTCTGTGTTCTATTCATCAGAAAATCCCAGACAGTTTCATAGTAAGACCTGCCAAGTGGACTAAGAAACTGCCTTTCCCAACCAGTAAAACATTCCTGTAGTTCCTCACTTTCTCCCCAAGATACATACTACACTAAGAAACGCTAGGCAAAATGAAATCCTAAAATACAGGGGCTATCCAGGACAAAAGCAAAAAATCTGCATATTTTCTTCAAACTCTATTCAGGCATGAAATCTTCATGATTTATGGTTTCATCAATCTTCTAAAATCCTGTATCTCTTTCATCAGTGCTAGACTCCTGGAGGAAAATAGTCCTTCCTATACAGCTTCAAGTGAGTCTTGAAAATGATCTCTAACTAAATCTCTATTTTAACAAATAAACCACACACTTAGAAGTTGTGGCTTTTCTAAGAGTTGCAGTTTAGTAAAGAGTAACTCACTTTTCTTCCTTGTTTTAAAGGCTTCCATCTGAAGTTATCCTACAATGTAACTAGAAGAAATTGTACTCTCTGCATAATTTAGAATATGTGAGACAACTTTAAAAAAGCAATAATCTACATACTGTAGTCTCTTGCAGTATTCATCCCATACCCATACCTAAAAATGTTATCTGCTAAGATATCATGAAGAAAAGAACAAAGAAAAATGGTCCTGATTTAGTCACTGATAAAACAATTACAAGTTAATCTTAAAGATAATTAAAATTAATACTTAAATTAAGTATTAGGAGATAAAGAAACGCATGATACAGAGAACAGTAATCAACTGCAAATCAGAAAACTTGGGTGTTAGCCCCAGCCTTGCCAATCACTATGTAAACTTTAGCAAATCATTTGTTTTATTTCCTAATCAATAAAATAATGATAATATCTGCCCTGACATTATCATAGGTCTGTCATGAGGATGAAGTGAGAAAATGAATGTAAAATAATCTTGTAAACTGTGAAGGTTTCAATGGAATCAATTATTCATTTTTTAAAAAACAAGCATTTATTGTGCATCGACTTTGTGCTAATCACTAATCAGACAGAGGGGATGCGGCAATGAATTTCACAAACAAAAATTCCTGATCTCATGCAGAAATTTTCTAATAGAGGGAGATGGGAAAAAAACAAATACATAAGTAAAAATACACAATATCAGAGCATGATAGGCACAATAGAGAAAAATAAAGCAGGAAAGGGTGAAAAACAATGCCGGGGAGAGGGTGAGACTGCAATCAAGTGGTCAGGAAAGGCATCATTAAGAAGGTAACATTTGAGCAAAGATCTGAAGTAGGTGGACACTGAAGGAAGAACATTATAGGCAGAGGGAACAGCGTTGGCCATATTATGACTACTCAAGTGACTTAAAAATACACATAAGGAAGGCTGCATCCTCTCTCAATAGGCTTTCTAGTGTCTCTATTCACTTAATTCAGATACACATTTGGAGGGGCAGCAATAATGTATAAATTCCTCCAGCAACTGCTTACAGTCTTACAAAACACTAAAAAAAAAAAAAAACTTAGAGAATCATCAAAATAGAATGACGTGAAACAGAAAACAGTTTTCAAAAGATAAACTGGCCTTACTTCCTTTCCCTCATGTTGTAGTTTTCTATTAGTATCCGTCACTTGATTCTGTGGAGAGAAGACAATTTAAACTCATTTAAAAAAATCATTTAGACGATAGTTTGAAAAGATCAAGATTTAATATGCAAAGAATGAGGACAGGTAATTTTAGAGCGAATTTCAGTATTTCATCATATATCAGTCCAGTGGTATTCTCTTGGGCTTAAATTACATCAGCTTTTCTACTAGAGATTTACATGACCTTTTGAACAAAAAGAAAAATTTACTAAAAGATATATTTGACTGTAAGATACTATAATGACTAAAAATCGCACTTTAACTTTGGAGAGAAGGAAAAGGAGAGGAAAAAATACACAAAATAACCAACGAACCTTACCGTCTCTACCATATCTAGAAAGAACAAATTTTATCGTAGCTATTCCTCACTTCGCCAATGTATTTCTGGAAAAGTTGGGTATTAATTGAACTTTTAACTCAAGTCAAATTTTCCCTATTTCTTTATATACTAATTTTAGGAAATTTTTATTTTCATTCTTTTTAGAACATTAATTCTTGATAGCTTCCACATTCCCATTTTGCCAATTTAATCTCTCTATCAGATATGAAAGAAAATATGTGAAAAAGCCTTTAAATGATCTAGAGTTTATAATTTAAAGGAATTGGCATCTAATTTTTTTTGACATCTACTTTTGAAGTCTCAACTGATGTAAAAAAAATTGAGTATATAAAATAGTAATTTCCTCACCATCCAGACATTATCAAAACATGAGCCATACCAACTTCTAAAACTTTTTTTAATAAACACTTTCTACCCTTCCATTGATAACTGCCACTCCTTATACCTTCACGGCATTCCCCTAACCCAACATTTGCTATTACTGTCACTTAGAACGCCAAGAAATGTTAATAGCAACTGCACATGGTCACAAGCGCAGATGCAGGCACATGCATACACACACATTTCTCCAGTCAAATACGTATGGGAAACACTAACCAGGTTACTTTATTCAATACTTCTGGAAGCCTTTAATATTCCATATACATTCTGAATTCACAAGAAAGGGGATATCGTACACAGTGCTTTCCAAACTTATTTAATCATAACATCCTTTTATTAAGGGACATCTCAAGGGACTCGTTTTTCAGAAAATAGTTTTGAAAGCACACCCTAGACTATTATTTTCAGAGCAGATTACCACATGCACCTCTCTAAAGGACAACATGAAATCCTGCCTCCTCCAAGAAGTCTTTATAAAGTATCAAAAAGAAAGGCAAGAAACCTTCCAATTCCTTCTTTATTAATTATTTACTTAACAGCATCACAGGTGAAAGACTTGGCATTTTTATTGGACTATGAGTTCAATATGAATTAAATGTGATGTAGCTCCCAAAAATGCTGATCTAAGGCAACATTAACAGAAATATTGTCTAAAACAGGAGCCAGCAAACTTTTTCTGCAAAACATCAGATAGTATTTTAAGCTTTGCAGGCCATACAGTCTCTGTTGCAACTACCCAACTCTGTTGTTGTAGAGGAAGGCAACCATAGACAATATGCAAACAAACAGGCAAGGCTGTGGTCCAATAAAATCTTATTTACAAAAACAGGCGGCAAGCTGGATTTGGCCTGCGAGATGTAGTTTGCCGATTCCTGGTCTAGAAAAAGTGAGATGGTAAGGCTGTAAAAAGACCACACTACGATAATTACATTCAGATGCCATGTTTTAAGAATGCCCTTAACAAGCTGAAGTACGTTAGATGTGAATAAGGTTGAAGAGACACTTAAAATTATACCACATGAAACAGAGTTGAAGGTATTTTTAGCCCAGAGGGGAAAAATACTCATTTGGAGACACTATACACTATGCCTGGATACTATACACTATACCTAAATGACAGCTGTCCTTCAGATATCTGAACAGCTATCAGAAGAAAGGTTACCCCCCAAATACAGCTTATTATTCAAACCAATAAATGGATGTTACTAGAAAACACGATTCAACTTAACATGAGAAAAAGCTTTTAAGCAATGTGAATAAAAATGTAACAGGTTACCTTGAGTGGTAGTACTATCTCATAGTAGTTATTCAAGAATAAACTAGATGATTTTTTTTTAATCCCAAACTGGATATCTCATAAAACTCAGCACTCCATAAATACTGCTAAACTCAGCATCACCATCTCTACTAGAGCAGCGTTGTTTACCTTAAAAAGGCACCACTTCTCAAACTTTTTTTACTTTAAATTCATTGTAAGAAAGACATTTGACATTGCAACCCAGTACACAAGTATAAGGAACACACACACACCTACATACACAAAAAAATTGAAAAAAATTTTTCAAGGAAGTGTTTACCCTTAATACACGTAATACTATTCTATTCTATTTAATTTCAGTTTTTTGTTAAAAATAGTGATCATGGCCCACTAAACTCATTTCATGTAAACCATGGTTCTAAAGCATATCCATTGAACCTAATAATTGCTTCTAATAAAGACAATTACTATTCCTATACTATTTTGACTTAAAAATGAAAAGAAACTAGACTGATTGCCTAGGATGCTACATCTTTTGATTCAAAGAACATAAATATGAATATATATATATATATATTCAGTGGATCAAAAGAAATAATGGGCAAACAAGAGAATGTAGTTTGTTTTCAGTAAGTTAAAATAGTACTGAAAGTAGTTAATACTTAATCTTTCCCATTTTCTGAACTCCTTGCTATGACTCCATGTTTCATAGGTTTTCAACCTGGGTGGTCTGGATCTAAAGCAGAACCTCCCAGGTATGCTGCTAGACTTTGATCTCCTTGGCCCTCAGAGTAACTGGATGGAACCTGAAGCAACCAAAACCCCTGAACTGGTAGCATCTAGCATGAGCAGTCTTGTTAGGCATTCCTTCAGGGGCATTCTGAGCAATTTGAAGGGGAATGGAAGGAAGAGAAGTAAGTATCAACCAGCAAGTGGTACTGCAGTTGATGAGCATTATGAGCAATATCCAATACTGCCCCGCCAAGGAGGTAATTCACTATGACTACTTCAGTAGCCAGAGACAAAACATCCTGTTGTCCGTCATGGACCAGGGTCCCAGGGAACTGCTAAAGAAGCTTAGGGTACAGGTGTCCAAGGAGAATAAAAAAACACAGCCCAGGGTGGAAACAGGAACCTGGGATGGCTGGGTAGGAACTAACAGTACACAGAGCTCCTGGTAGTTGCCTCATTTTTTTTTTCCCCCACTTATTTCGGATACTTTTGTCTATTTAAAGCTGATCAGCATCCAAAATTTCAGCATTACATTTGCCAATGAATTAAAGAAGCCCTATTAAGATTCTCTAATGTAATAATTTCAAATAGTATATACATTTTTAAATGAATATAAAAATAGTTCATTTTTTTTATCACCAACTTCTGAGAAAAGTTCTCTTAAACAGTGCCTATGAAGAATTAAAAGAAGCCATCACTTTACAAGTCTCGACCAGAATTACATGTAGTCATTTCAAGCATAAAAATGCAAAAAAAGTTATGTTCATGGAAGCAAGTTCAAGTTTCTCATTTTAAAATGTTGAAAAGGTTTTTGGAAGATTTATACAAATTCTTACTATAATCTAATATTTTATATTTTATTTTTCTTAGTATAATCCATAAGAAAATATAGTTTTTTTTTCAACAAGCCCCATATTCCCCCTAAACCTCCTCTAGTTTACGCCCACGTGCCTGCCTTTTGAATATCACTTTGTATGTGTGCCATGACAGGAAAAAAGTTAGAAAGCACTGCCCTAGAGGAATCAATCTATGGCTTCTCCATGAAGTCATTTAAAATTGTTCTCAATTCATGTTCTCATGCATGTACATTTTTTTAGGGAGAGGATCCAACCTTTTAATCAGATTCTGACTCTCCCCATTTTACCCCACATCTCAGTGACTAGAACTACCAAATACCAAGTCACTCACCAGAAACCCAGGGGTCATTTTTCACTCTGTTATGGGCTCTATTCCACATTTTTACCTTACAAGCATCTCTGTAATCCCCTCTTCCTCACCATCTCCTTACAACTACAGGTATCCACTGCTTTTCGAAAGTTCACTTCATGCCACTTCACTTTTATGAAAGACCTACATCAGTACTCGTTTTTGCTATCCAAAAGCAATCTGAAGAGTATTTTCACTTTTACAAAAAAAGGTGAAACCTCACTCCTCCTGAGCAAGCTAGACGCTCAGGTAAAGTGTCTACATCAACTGTTCACTGCCCATTTTACAATAGTGGCTCAACGAAGCTCCTCCTTTCAAACTCCACCGCCATTATTCAATGACCCAGACACATCCAATTAAATCCTGGTGACGTACAAACACACCAGGCCTCACGAGATCACATCCTCACCTTGTCATCCCCTGGACATTTCTGTAACTGTAGTACTCATCCCTCGGCATGCAGTTAATATAAATCCTGCTCTTCTGCGGAAATCAAACCCTAGCCCTTCAACCCAGCCCCATGTGCCACTGCCAGTTAGGCTACCAGGGCTCCCATCATAACCACCACCACCTCTCAGCCTTCCAGTGTGCTCACGGTCTTCCTGATTTTGGTAAATGAAACTACACCGTACATACGTTATTTCTACTTTATATAGACTGTGTATTTGTCATATCATTCCTGCTTTTACTGTATGTTAGTGTTAATTTTTAGGTTTTATATGTTACTTCATATGATTTAGTAGGTTATTTTTTGAGCATAAGAACTCTCAAAATTTTTTCCCATATAAATTAATGGTAATTGCTTCTTCACTTTATACCTTTCGGCTTACAAAAGGTTTCACATGAACACTCTACTTTCAGACGGTGGTGAAAACCTGTACCTTATTTGAGACCTTCGTCATTTTTTTAACCTGGATTTTAAGTATTATTATTGTTTTCCTATATTGAATGAAAATGTTGTTTTAGTGCACATATTTTAACACTAAATTTTCTAATTAGTAATCAAAATCTTCAATTCAAACTGGAGGAAACTTAGAATACAGAGAAAAGACCCTAATAAGAACATTAAAAGTATCTATTACCCAGGGATTACTGATAACTTTTGGTATAAAGTTTTCCAATTTTATTAATGATTATTTATCTATTAAGTATGTGCATTTTCATTTATAAAATAGGATCATATTATTCATATTTTTGTAATCTGTTTTATATATTAAGCAAACATTTCTAACATTTTCCCATATCAGATTTTCTTCTACAATATATTATAATTTGTACAATATATTGTATATTTTTTCCAATCATGTACCATAATTTATTTTACTAATCCTCTAGTAAATTATTTTTAGGATCACTTTTAAGTTTTACCTATAATAAAAAATGTTATATGAACATCCTTGAACACACTTCTCAAAAACCCAAACCCACTGCCATCAAGTCGATTCCGACTCATAGTAGCAATCCAGACTCATAATAGCGATCCCATAGGGTTTCTGAGGCTGTAAATCGCTATGGAAGCCGACTGCCACATCTTTCTCCCACTGAGCCGCTGGTGGTGTCAAGCTGCGACCTTTTGATTAGCAGTCAATTGCTTTAACCACTGCACCGCTGGGGTGAACACATACCTACAGCCTTAAAATTTATCTTAAAACTACATGAGGTTTTAAATATTGATATATATTAACAAATTCTTCTCTGCAAAGGTTTTAACAATCTAGACTCTAACCAGGTTTGCCCACTTCTGTGTCATCGACAATCTTAAGTATTATTTTTTTCATCTTTGTCATTCTATTAGGTGTCACCTTACTGTTTGATTTTGTATTCTTTTATTTCTAAATTATAGTTACCTTGTATTTCTTCTTATGTAAATTATATATTAATGTATATTTCTCAGTTTTCTATTAGAGTATTCATAATTTTCCTATTTTTAAGGACTTAACAGATTAAGAAAATTAACCATTTGTCATATGTATTTGTAAATACTTTTCTTGATTTGCCTTTTAATTTTTAATTTGCATGTAGAAAAGTTTCTTTCCTTTTAATGTTGTCACATCTATCGATTTTTTCTTTCTGGTTTCAGAATGCTTTAGAAATGTATTGCCCACTCCCAAAATCATGTAAATATTCATCTATACTTTTTACTATTTCCTTTATGGTATTATTTTTTACAGTTAACTTTCTAGCTCATCTGAAATTAATTCTGAATGAGGAAAGGTCTAACTTAATTTAAATTCAAATAGTGAAGCATTAAAGAACATTAACAACAAATCAAAACAGTTGTTACCTCTGGAGGGGAGGGTAGAGGAAGCAACTGAGTAGGGGGCAAAAGAGAGACTTAATCGTGCCAGCAATATTATATTTCTTAAGATGGTTGGGTATTTGTTGTATAGGTCCATAAACCCTTGTTTGAAACCTTGGGACCTAATGTGTTTTGGATTTCAGAATTTTGGAGATTTTATAGAAACAATATGGTACATATTATATATCATATAACACACCTCAGTGGGTCTGAGACAGCACTCCATAAGCAAACACATTAATATTTGTGTAGCAAACCACAAAACTTCACATTAAATAAAATAAATTAAAAAGTTTGATGCCTTCATGTTCATTCACGTCAGGTTTCGCAGCCAAACGGGTTTTTAAAATTACTGTAGCTTTAGAATATAATTCAACATCTCCCTTCAATAAAGCTGTTTCTTTGCTTTTCTTACCAATGTTTTCTGATAGTTTTAGATTCACTCTCAAGTTCACCCCATGCCTAGGGAAAATCTTTTTGGGATTTTAATTCAAATTCCTGTCAGACAGGAAAAGAAATTAGAAGCATAAGGACTAGAAAAAAGGAAATAAAATTGTTATTATTTATAAATTATATGACTGTTTACATAAAAGAAACTCACAACAATCAACACAAATTATTAGAAATAACAGAAGAATTTAGCGAAGTAGCTAGATTTGAGCTCAATAAGCAAATTCAGTTTTCTAAGTTTAGTGAATTTGCTATGCCAGGGACTAGAAAAATGTGGCTAACTAGGCTCCTTCCTAAATTTGAGTCTGTCATATCAAGAAAGAATCTTCATGCTTTGGTAAAACACCCTCCACAACTATCACTGATTTTTTTCCCGTAGCTTAGGTGGCATGCTGCAAAGACTTCTAGGGCAATGCCTTAAAATTCTGGCATCCTACAGTGATGGCTTTTATCCAGCAAGGAAACAGATGACATAAAGAGTCAACTGAGTTTCTGTTTGAAAGAAACTGGTACTGATCACTGGTTCTCATCCACGTGTAGTTATGTCAAACTTCCACTTAAAAGGGTATTCTTTTTAGCTAGGAAGATATAATCTCAATTATCTATATTTCAGTACAAATTCCTTTCTTACTATGCAAAAGTATTTATTACTAGTATATAACCTGCAACGTACGCTAGTCGAAACTCCAGCATGGGTCAGCAAAACAAGTCTCTCCTAGGGTCCTTACTTTGAGTTTCTGGGCTTCTCCTCGCACTTTCAGTAGTTCAGTTATAGAGTCCACAAAGCCCTGGTAATGAAAGTTGCACATTTTCTCAATCTCTCGGTCATGATTGCGGATGCGAGTTTCAAGCTTCTCCATGAATCGTCCATGTTCCTCACTATCATAGACAGACCTTTAAAAAAAATGGCATGAAGATTACACCAGATTTAATTCTAAGAAGGAGAAACAGAATTACAAACCTAGAAAAATATTTCTCGGAAATGAGATATTTAAGGAACACAAATCACAAAGTAATTCAATCGCATTAACATTGCCCCAAGGCTAGATGAGTATTCTTAGGAAAATCCAAAATTGTACTTTTTCATTCATTCTTTTTTTTGAGTGTTTGATAATATGCATCATAGAATTCTTATCATAAAATGAAAAGACTGAATTACAACTCCCTTCCACCTCTGTTTCTCAATTAAACTAGTCTAGAAAACTCAACTATCCAATTATTCCATGATTGTACCCAAGAAGATGAGCACTGCTGGAAAAAAAAATCACATAGCTCTGCTGGCTACACTCAGTTTAAACATGTAACTACAAATTTAAATTGGGCACTCAATACTGCTAGATAATACTACTACAATTTGCCCCCTACCCCGAAAAATCACTTTGTATTCTCCAAAATAACTATGTGTAGGAACCTTACTTTCTCCTCTCCTCAAAAGTCCACCCCCTCACTCTCAACTGCTGACCTGACTACATACTTCACAGAAAAAAAAACAGACGGGGAAATATCTCCCCTTCCTACTTAAAATCAAACAACCATCTGTAACTCCTACTCTGTCAACCCTCACGTAACCATGGAAGTATTCTAGCCCTTATCTACAGTCAATCCTTTTTGCTGACTCAAGAACTTTACTGTACTCCTGCAGTTACTTCTATTTATCCCTCTTCTGCATCATACATATCTCCCTCTCTACTAGATCATTCCCCTGGGCATATAAACATGGCTTTTAAAAATCTGCCCTTAACTACATGTCCCTCTAGCTACGATTCTCCTTTCTCTGCTCTCCTTCCTTTCTACTTCCTCACCTCTCAATAGTTTGTGTCATGGATTGAACTGTGTCCCATAAAAATATCTGTCAACTTGGCTAGGTCATGATTCCCAGTACTGTATGACTGTCTACCATTACGTCATCTGATGTGATTTCCCTAAGTGTTGTAAATCTTATCACAATGATGTTAATGAGATGGATTAGCTGCAGTTATATTGATGAGATTTACAAGATTAGATAGTGTCTTAAACCAATCTCTTTTGAGATATGAAAGAGAGAAGTGAGCAGAGAGATGGGGGACCTCATACCACCAAGAAAGCAGCATGGGAGCACAGCATGTCCTTTGGACCCAGGGTCCCTGTGCCTGAGAAGCTGCTTGACCAGGGGAGGATTGATGACAAGAACCTTCCTCCAGAGCTGACAGAGAGAGAAAGCCATCCCCCGGAGCCGATGTCCTGAATTTGGACTTGTAGCCTACTAGACTGTGAGAGAATAAATTTCTGTTTGTTAAAGCCATCCACTTGTGGTATTTCTGTTATAGAAGCACTAGATGACTAAGACAGTTTGGTATTCATCTTACTTTACCTAATAGCATTTGCTATGGTTTAATACTCCCTCCTTCTTGAAACACACTCTTCTATGACTTCAATGACACCACACTAACTTTCACCGACATTCCTTCTCAATCTCCTTTCTGGGCTCCTTCTCCTCTACTACCTTTCTAATTTTCCTAAAACCTCTTCTCTGCCTATGCTCTCTCACCAAGCAATGTCATCTAATCCCATGGCTTTAAAACACTGATGGCTTCCTAATCTATACCTACAGCTCCGAGCACTTCCCTGAGCACTAAACTCAAAATATCAGCTACTATCTGACAACTTCAATTAGATTTTTAAAATCCATCTCAAATTTAACACAGCAAAACAATACCTAAAAAATTATTTATCACCAACCTATCTCCACTTCCAAACCCGTTTCTTCCCCCAAATCTTTCCGCCACCAGTACAGTAGCACAGTACCACCCTAGCACAGTAAACGGCACTATCCAGTTATCCAGGACAAAAATCTAGGAATCACTCCTAATCCATTGCTTTCCCTCACATAACCTATCCAATCTATTAACAAATCCTGACAAGTCAACCTCCAAAATTCAACCTTGAAACTGACCATATCCCACCATTTCCACTAAAACCCTAGTCCAAACCTATATTCTCTCCAGATGAGGCCAATGCAACAGCCTGCTAACAGTCTCTGTTCTTGCACTCCCCATCTCCCCCACCTCCACCCCAATACAGGCACACTGTTCACATAAGAGTTAAAATGATCTTTTTAAAGCAGTAATTTAGATGTTATCATTCTGTTGAACTATCTCCAACGACTTCCCTTTACAAAGGGAATAAAATCTTAAATCCTAACCATGGCTTATAAGGCCCTACATCCTCCAACCCCAGCCCCAAGCTCCAGCCCAGACTAGCTTTTTTTTTTTTTAAACTTTCTCTACACCTCAAGAATGTTGTTTCTGCTGTTCTAATTCTAGTAAAGCTGATCCCCTATATCTCTGAACAGACTTTTCCTTCTCATCACTCATAGTTTGTTGTCTACCTCTTCTACCCCAACTCATCCCAACTAGATTCTAAGCTCAAGGTCAAGAACTATATTTCTAAAACAGTGCTAGGCAGGTAGTAGGCAGTGAATAAACATTTGTTGACTGAATGATTGACTGATTAACATTATCTCTAAGATTTCTTTGATCTTTGACATTTGTTCATCATTAAAAAGTGCCAACATTTTCTGGTTCCATTATCATTTGTGGGTACCAGATCACTACCCTAATCTGTGGATCAGCAAGCACACTCTTCTCCCCAGCAGGTCAGTTTCACTGCCCAAACCTCAGCAGTAACCATAGATACTACACATGATAAGTTTGGCTTCCAGTAAAAATTCTGAACACTTACTTCAGAAAAAGCAGAGCAATCCAGGTTCATTCTCCTTCCCTTGAAATAAAGGGAAGAGATCCTTAAATAAATTATAAACAATTCTTGCTTTGGCTTTTAAGACACAACTATAAAATAACCACTTGCAGGAAGAAGCTGTTTGGAATATACAAAACAGAATCTACCACTAACATTTCAAATAATCTCAAGTAAGCTTAACTTTTCCGCTTTCAGAGGGAAGGAAAAGAAAGGTTTCCATATAAAGACACCCATATTCCTTTCTACTTAGAAAATGGGAAGAACCACAGAAAACTAATCAATCTAAATGCCATAAGCTGATATCATTCACAATTAGACAATCTCTCCATTTTAGATTCAGTCTAGTTCCTTCTACTAGGTAAAACTTTTCAGTGTTTCCCTCCAAAGATCTACATTAACATCGCAAAAGACAACAACCCAGAGAAGAAAATTTCAGGATCAAAAAATTCAGAACTTATATTAATAATACCTCCCCAGCTCCCTGAACATCCAATTAAAAAAAAAAGGAAGTAAATGTGGGTTTTAGCTGCCTATGTGATCTTGGTCTCAACATTGTAACTAACTAGCTATGAGTCTTTCACCAACCCAGTTAAAATTTCTCTCAGCCTCAGCTTTCCCATTTACAAAATTGGAAGCAATCAATTACAAGCATATCCTCTAAAGTACTAAGCTTAGCTCTAAATTTCTACAATTCACCTCCACTTTCAAGTTCAGTCAGTAATGTAAAGGTCACACATTTTCAAAATAGTGTAAATAGGCAGTTCAAAAGAAGTAAATAAATTTTCTACCTCCTTAGCACTATTATGATTCTAATATTCTCTTTTATTATAATAACGTTGAATAACATGAAAGGTTTACAGTGGATCTCAAATATCTTGAGAACAAAAAAAGTTAGAATAAAATATAAAACCCACATATTTAAAATAAGAGTTGTTAATCTATATCCCACAGACTTGTGTTCCACAGATCAGCTTCATGAAATCCATGATTCCCTAGATTTTATGTGGATTTTGTGTGTCTGGGAAGATTCATATATATGTATTTTTATGGGGAAAAGATCCACAGTTTCCATCTGCTTATCAAAGTTAAAAAATACTGATTTAAAGATTTTGTTTCAAATTGTCCACCATAGGAGAAGACAATTGTAGACTGATTACTCAGTGCTAACCAACACATCCATCAGCAGTTTATATACCTATTAAAAACAAAAACAAACTAGTCTTAAATTCTGGAAAGGTAATAGACCTACAGACGCTAACCTAATATTGCTAGTCAGCATTGTACATGAACCAAGTGTAGCTCCCTCCCCACTCCACCACCCAGCAAATGGTATAACTAGAGAAAGACTGCCATCTAGTGATGGTCCATTTCTAACATTCCTTGAAATGTATACTTGATGTGGCCAAGTAAGGACTGTTTAAAAATCTAAACACTATATTGCAAAATGTAATACCTGGTAGCCAAAGACTTACAGCTAGTTATTAAGTGGTATTTTATTTATTTACACTTTGATGTTTAGATTTTCATTTCTAATATGAAAGTAATGGGGCACTACTACTCTGTCATATAGGGTCGCTATGACTTGGAATCAATTCAACAGCACATAATGACAACAATATGAAAGTAGGATCTTGTGAACTAAGTCATGCTTTTGACAAGTCCAGGTATCCCACTATCTATAGATTATAGATATAGATACGACTGTCTATGAAGTAAACTGCAGCACTAGTTTAACGATTTTTGATAACCCTAAGAATATTCTAATTCTCAATAAAACATAAAAAGATGGGAAATTAACAACTTTTTATAGCCTAAATTTCGACTCATCTCCACAAATGCTGTCTTGTGGAGTCTGATTTACAAAAGTCCCCAAATAAGTCACAGGTTTTGGCAAGAAGTAAAAAGTTTTATCCTAGTGTCTATATATTATATATACGTATAAACACCATAATGGTACTATATCCCTCTCCCACCTAGATTTCACGTGCATAGTGAGAGAGTGATTTTACTTGTAAAATGGCACTTGAGGAATTCTGTTTAACAAGTATTTATCATTCCTCTGTACCAAACCACTACAGGATTCCATCACTTGCTTAGAGCCTACCTCAGTGCAAATCTGCTTGTCAGAAAAGAAAAATAGTAATAATAATAATGTT